CAGAAGAAGGAATATTACAGAAGAATACCCAAGTTACACTGGCTAAGAGGCAATAATTTCTTGCAACTCATGCTATATTGTTGCACACACTAGCAAAATACCGTATATAAGATACACAAATGGGACAGCTAAAATGGCAAGGAAAGTGTATGTCCTATCCAGACGTGAACAATTTCCATGCCAGTGATTTCCATTAAACTGTAAATAAAAATGATCATGTGAATGGCAACATAGCATACCTTGCTTTGTTATTCTCCTCTCAGTAACCTTGTTAATTGGTACTACATTTTCCATTGAAAAAGATGTGTTGCTTCACGTTTAGTAAGAATAAGAATATAAGGTATTTAGGGCTTGGATTCAAAGGCTTGATGTTTGCCCTCTCCCCCATCTGCACTCATGCAATTGCATTGTGGGCAATCAGCAACCAGATCACATTCAGAGCTTTTTGCAGCATCCCACAATCACGTGACTACAGCTTACAAGGTTTTGCTGGCGTTGACTACCAATATCTGGTAAAAAATGCCCATTCTGAAAAATGGGTACACTTAACGACTGCAGCTTTCATTTAATGACCGCTGCAAACACCATTGTAGAATAGGTTTGGTCACATGATGTCCTACTTAATCCCCAGTAAGACTTACCGTCTTAATTCCAGACTGGTATTAGGTGCCAAATGCTATTACTCTTTTTTTAAAGATATGAAAGATTATCAGTATTATCCTCTGTGCATCTCCATCTACAAAACCGCATTTGCATACAGCTCTGCAATTCAACCCCTCTAACCGATTTTCTCTGGAGAGGTGAGCGCAACTCCCAGACTGGCCATTTCTCTCCGTGTAAATGGTGGCCTGACAGCAACTGCAATCTGAGCGCTTACAGAGAGGCACCAATTTCATCTGGCACAGGCAAACACATGTCAACTTCCCAACGAAAAGTACAAGTAGTGCTCGACTTACAACCACAATGGAGCCTAAAATTTCTGTTGTCAAGAGAGACATTTGTTAATGGAATTTTGCCCCATTTTATGACCTTTCTTTCCACAGTTATTAAGTGAATCACTCCAGTTCATAAGCGAGTAACCTGGTTGTTAAGTGAATCTGGCTTCCCCATTGACTTTGCTTGTCAGAAGGTCACAAAAGGAGGTGACATGACCTTGGGACACAGGAACGGTCATAAGTATGAACCAGTTGCCAAGCATCTGAATTTTGATCACAGAATCATGGGGATGCTGCAAAGGGGGTAACTGTGAAAAACGAACATATGTCACTTTTTTCAGTGACGTTGTAACTTCGAATGGTCACTAAATGAACAGTGGTAAGTTGAGGACTTCCTGTAATTTGGAGGGCTATTTCTTCTATAGACAATGAGCACTGATGATGTCTTGCAATATACATCTTAAAATAAATAACCAACCTGGAAACATTTTTGGAATACGAGTTTACTTACAGAAGAAAGATTCTATATTTACCATTTAATAATAGGCTGGAAGATAAAACCCCAAAAAGATATTTATCAGAGGCCATAAAAGTCACTTAGAAGCTGAATTTAACAGAATGACAGAGTTGGAAGGGACCTTGGAGATCTTTTAGTCCAACCTCCTAGAATTCCAGAAGTGAAGAAGGGGTTTCCAAGTTGAAAAAAAAGTACTCATGTGTTGTTGTTGTTTTCATCAAAGGAGTCAATTTAGCCATCTCTGCTACCTCCATCAACTTTTGCAACCATTCCTCCATTGTGGAGATCGAAATGTCCTTCCCTTTTTGTACATAAAGTAGTCTGGCTACCATCAACGTATATAACATTGAAGTTCCATCATTGTTTACAAGTCTTTTTTCCATTAAGCCAAAAAGAACAGTTTCTCCTTTTACCTTTATATTCACTTTCAGAATTTTCTGTATTAGAATAGAAATCCTACTCCAATATTTCTTTACTTTATCACATGTCCACCGTAAATGATAAAAGCTCCCTTGGGCCAGGATGTTTTTCAGGGGGCTGTGAATGTAGACACGAGTTGCCTCTGGTGTGATGCGTATTTTGGTCGTTGATGATGCCGACAATATTGCAATGATTAATGTTAATTATTATTTACTGCCAAAAGTCATATTGCAAATGGGTACCTATATATATTGAAATAGAAAAAGCTTTATTGATTATCTAGAGATAACTCCCAACTTTTCAGCATTTTCCAAGTTCCCCACATCCAAATGCCACTCAAGCACTGCTCTAGGCCGCTGACCACAGTAACCGAGCTACACAAATATTGTATAGTAAGGATGGGTTGTCAAAATGAAATACAATAACAGAAGAACGAATCCTCCTTTATCAGAAGTCCTAGGAGGCAAAGAATGCATAAATGCAGAAGAAAAGTTTGATTTTTAAGAGACACCAGAGCTGTTATTTCAATCAGTGCATTCCCCGATGTTATTGCCATGTGATAACAACAACAAGGGCCAGAATGCAATAGGTCTGTCACTAACAACTATGGAAAACCCGCTACTTGCCATTTCCACGATTCTTCTCATAAAGTCTAGTCATTTGCTAAATCCACTAAATACGATGACTGAGCAGCTACTGTTTTACCATAATATCCTACAACACAGAGAAAGGCATGATAAAAAAGAGAATCTAAGATGTCATGTTGAGATAAATTAAGGAAGTGCGAATGGCTATAGCTCTTTCCCACCTTTACAAAGCCGTTGTTTTAGTAGAGTGTATTGAGAGGAAACGAAGAACCCTGCAAAATTATACTGGGTTATCCAGTTGGTTACATGGAGGTTAAGTGAATCTGGCTTCTGCATTGATTTTGCTTTTCAAACTGTTGCAAAAGGTGAACACGTCACCTTAGGACACAGCAAGAGTCATAAGTATGAACATAAGTATGTCAAGGATCTAACGTTTGATCACGTCACACTATAAGTGTGAAAAATGATCATAAGTCACTTTTTTGCTGTTGTCATAACTTTAAACGGTCACTAAGTGAACGGTAGGAGGTTGAGGACTACCTGTACTAGTCTAGCTCAATCTTGACATAAGGTTAAATAATAAATGTAAAGGTTTGGCCTGACAGCTGAAGAAAATGTAAAGACCAGCCACTACATTCTGCCAGCGAAGCAGAAAAGAAAGGGAACTAACAGGATGAGGAACAATTCTGGGCCAGGACAATTTAAACAACAATTAGCATTAGGTCTCAGACACAGCAAACAGGTGTTGAAACACACACAAACTGAGGATCCCACGTCACACTGTACATCACATCATGCCCCACTGTAAACTGAGGGCATATACAGTTTCTCATTTTAAAATATACATGATGCGTCGCTTCAAGGGTTAGAGGGCCTAGACCAGGGGGAGGAAACCTTGGCTCTTTTTTGACTCGTGGACTCCAACTGCCAGAATTCCTGAGCCAGCCATGCTGAGGAGAAATGGAGAGGTTTCCAATCTGAGCCATGCTGGCTCAGGAATTCTGGGAGTTGAAATCCACGAGTCATAAAAGAGCCAAGGTTGCCTACCCATGGCCTAGACATTGGTTGATAACATAGATATTTCTCAAATTTATATTATATTGTTTTATTAGTCTAGATGAAATGTTAATATATATTGCAAATCCAGGTATGATATGCCACATACTAAACAAATAAACACACACAAACAGAGAGAGAGGGAGAGAGAGAGAGAGAGAGAGAGAGAGAGACAGAGAGAGACAGAGAGAGAGAGAGAGAGAGAGAGACAGAGAGAGGGAAATTGGAACAGAGATTTAAAGATTTGCTCCCAAATGGGAAATATCTAGTGTAACCATTCCTTCCTGTTGCCTTGCCTTGTTTGCCCTGGTATTTATCACCACCAGCATCCTATTTATAGTTATTTATGGAATTTTGTATTTGCCCACAATTGTCTTCACTGCAAAAAAGTGTGGAAACAATTGACAATATTACCTGTCTCAGCCCGAGGGGTGACTAAAACAGAACAAACCGCAGGGACTAAAGACCTTCCTCAGCTCAGGACGGATTTTTAGGCCCTGTGTTGGGAAAGGAGGAGGCCATTTCTGTTGTCCAGAAATTCAGTGAGTGGTGATTGGATCTTGGATTCATCAATCAAAGGACAGTAACACTGAGTTCCTCCACTTAGTTTATATTCATGTTTATGTTTATACATTTACAATCTTTCTTGCCACAGCTGTTAAGTGAATCAAGTTGTTAAGTTAGTAACAGGGTTGTTAAGTGAATCTGGCTTCTGTAAGGATTTTGATTTTCAAATTGTTGCAAAAGGCGATCGCATGACCTTCGGACATAGCAACAGTCATAAGTATGAACAAATGACAAAATTAGTGGACCAGAGGAATGCTGTGGATATAATTTACTATTACTATTATCAAATTGGAAAACATTTGAATTTTGATCATATGATCCTGGGACTACTAGTAAGGTCGTAAGTGTGAAAAACCGTCATAAATCACTTTTTTCAGGGCTGTAACTTTCAACGGTCACTAAATGATCTGTTGTAAATTGAAGACTACCTGCAATATGTGTACTTGATCCTGCTTCCAATAGTTTTCCTCTACCTTCCATTGAAATTTCTCTAATCACTTCACAACTCTGAAGTCTATGCTTCAGAAAGACAGTCATGACGTTAACTACGTTTGTTCCTGTTTGGGGCATCATATCAAAGTTAGATATATTTATAAACTCAAAGAGGATACAAGGACAGCATTTAAAATATGAAAATAAATTGGAATCCTCCCATTGGAGGAAGAAAAAAAAACTGTGTGAAACAATAGATGTTTCGGAAGTAAACCTGCAAACATGAAAAAAAATAAAAATTTGTTCTGTTTCCGTGAAGCATGTGGTTTAATATTTCACTATAACTGAAGTACAAGTTGTGAAGCTGGGTACTTTGAACCTGGGCTTTATTTTTTGTTTTTGTTTCTAGTTTATAATATTTGGAAATTGAAAAAAGAATATATTTGCTACTAGCAAGCTCATTCCTGAAGAAAGAATAAACGTCGCCATTTATTAGGGCAGCGAATGCTTCAAAATTTATTTAGAAGAGATTTAAGAACAGAGTCTCTCTCCTGGTCATTAAAAATCTCTAACTTTTTTCTCTTCGAGCCTGAAGTCACATTACCAGTAATGGTTGTCCTCAACGTAAGACTGAAATTGAGCCCTGAATTACAGTGGTAAGTTGCTGCAGTCACAAGTCGAGGCATCATGTGACTGGACCCAAATTTTCAACATTTTTAGAGTAGTTGTTAAGCAAATGCTGTAGTCGTTAAGCGAATGCTGAAGTCATTAAGTGTTCGCTGGGGCGCTGCAAACAGTTCTAAAGGTAATCAGTTGCCAAGAATCCAAACTGGGATCATGTGATCATGGAGGTGGGGATATGCGGACACCATAATGATTAAAATAAGTCATAAGTAGTTCTGGGTCAGTTCTTCATAATTTCAAATGGTCATTAAGCAAGCAGTCATAAATCGAGGACTACCTATAACGATTAAATAATAGTATTTTATTAGGGAAAACCCTCAGAGCTGTTAGATCTGTAAGGGGAGAGGAGGGGCGGCCCTGGGCCTTCCTGAGCCAGGGCATGGGAGGAGGTGATGCACGTCTGGCCAGCCTTATTGGAGCCATGTCCCAGTCAAGCGGGGCATCCACTGGCACACGTCCAGCTTGGGAGGAGCTGAAAGGGGAGCGCGAGCCCTGCACATGATCAGAGCCTCCGCAGCCCCGAGGGGAGAGTGCACTATGTCCCCTCCCCTTCCTGGAGACCCTGTGTGAGGAGCCCTTCCTTGGGCAGGGGGTTGGTCTAAAAGCCACACCCTAGGATTGTATGATTCCTTCTGTGCTTTGTGCCACAATGATGGTGCTTCTCTGTTGTTCCTGTTCCCACATGAAAGGAAGAGGCCAAAGGCCACCAAAGGAGTCAGCCACCGGGCCGCCCAGACACTGCTAAACCCAGGTGAGCTGCCCTCCTTGGGTAGGTTTAGAATGTGGCCCGTGTTTACCTAGTTGCCGAGGCAACGAGGTTGTCAGTTTCCCTGAAAAGCCACCAACCAGGGCCCAACTGCCCATTCTCCCTTCGTGCAGTGAAAGGACAAACAGCTGCTTGGGGTCATGGCTGTACGGAAGTTTTTTAGAGTAAGTGTGGCCATCTCAGCTGCCAAGAAACTGGCAGTAGTAGGGGAGAAAGTCATGCTTCGCAACTCTTCCGACTGGCTCATCTCTATTTCTCTTTTCTTCACAGAACATCTGGAAAAGATGTTCGGCGCTCTTCTGCTGCAGGAAGAGCGACGTAGAGGACCTTCCTGTGCCTCCTGACAGGTACCACCCCCTTCTCCTCAAACCCGGGGCATGGTGGGGCACCACTGATGGACTGCAGGGTCTCTAACAGCCTCTCCCCAAGATGGCTTTCTCTCGGCAAGCGGCTTGCAGAGGCCAAAAGATGGGAAGGCTGACTGGCTGGCTGGTCTTAGAAAGGAGAGGCAGAGCTAGATGGATATTTTTTGACATGTCATCTTTTTCTTTCGGTCAGAACTGACGAGGCACATGAACAGGCGGACCAGAAGGGAGAATGGTGGACACAGATTCGTGTGTCCGATGGACGCAGGCCTTCCTCCCAAGGGGTAAGGATGCTTCTGCGACATGGCCAGTCAGGGCTCATCCCTCATAACCGGATGGGGAAAGGGAGGAATTCTCACTTGGGGGAACCTGGCCAGCCTAGCAAAAACAAGAGGAGCCTTTTGGATTCATGGAAAGATCTTGATGGATTCCTATCAGCCAAATCTTCCATGATCTGCTTTGTCTTTCCCTGTTGAATGCAGTCTTTCCCTCCTGGGGAAGATAAACGTTCCACAACATGCAGGGGACTTTTAATTTATACTTTCAATTGTTACTTGCAGGGTTTGATGGGTGTTCGTGCCACCGCCCGGAGCCCCAGGAAGGAAGAGGTGATGCCAGTTCTCATTTCAGTGAGGTAGGTGTTCGCAGATTAAGTATTCTGAACCCCCCTAAAAGGCAGCCGCAGTAAAGCCCTAAAGAGAAGGGCTAGAAGAAACCTTTGCAGAGGCAGGGGGGGCATCGCATGGCTAGTTTTGATCTTTGGCCCTTCATTCTCTCCCTAGAAATGAGACGATAGCGAAGTGGAGGCCGCGGCTCTCAACCATCTGGGAGACCTGCACTGAGTCGGTAAGCCCAGACCAGCTCCTCACCATGGTAATGGCAGAAGCCCTTTCACTGTGGATTTGTTGATATGCCAACATTTGTAATATTTGCATTGTTATTTCAGGATCCTTCGGAAGACTACCGACCAAGAGAGGTGCAGGAGGAAAGCAGTGCCTGCCTATCAAGGTAGGTAACACCTCAGAGGGTGAAGCCTTTGCAGAGAGGAGGCATCTCTGACCTCTGCCTCTGCTTCTGCTAAAGGACGAATCAAAGGCCAATCTCCTTGGCAGGCCAGCTGGAAGGGTTCTTAGAGCCTCCACGTCACCACTTTTTTAAAAAGGGCCCATGGCTGTTTTTGATGTTTGGCTCCTTCGTTTCTCTCCCCAGAGAGGAAAAGGAAGAGCACTGGAGGCCGCGACTCCCCCCCAGATCAGAGACCTGCAAAGAATCGGTAAGGCGCGAACAACTTCTACCCCACTAAACGAAGAACCATTGTCTCTGTGGAGATGCCAACAGACAGAATCTTTGCCTTTTTATTTCAGGACGAAGAAGACCAGCCGGCGGAGGAGCAGCTCTCTCCTACTGGGGAGACGACGCATACTTCGGAGGTAAGAAAGTCTTGGCAATGGGGCCGATGGAGGCTCTCTTGCTGTTGGCGCACAGGGCCTGAATGCACCCTATCCTTTAGCAATCTTAGTGGGATGCAGAAAGCTTAGGATTTATCCTCGATACTGTCATTTGCAGGATTCGATGGAAGTCCTGGTGGGCTCCCGGAACAACAGCCTGGAGGATTTTGACTCCATTTCTGCCCTCTTGGATGAGGAGTCTGAGGGAAGCTGGGAGCAGGCTGCAGAGGCTTCGGAGGCCAGCCTTTCGTCCAGTCCGTGGGTAAGACAGACAAAGTGTTTTCTCTTGGGGAGGGATAGAGTCCCTCTATTCAGTTCTCCTAATCTGAGTGAACTGTGCTGGAGAGCTCTGGGCAGTGGATAAAGGTGACACCTGGCCCTTGGGACAAGGTCCTTAGGCTAACTAGAAGCACCCAAGCTGTGTTGCGATTGATTTACTGCAAACCAGAAGGGAAGGGCCAATTCAGTGGACTGGGGTCCTAAATAGATATGGCCCATCCTGTTTATCCCTTTCATTTTTCTGCATCATCCTCTCCAGCAACCAGCTGTTTCCAGGCAGGGCTTTAACGGGCAGAGTGGGTGGGAGTGGGGATTGCAACAGAAGCATTGTTTCTGATGGGAATCCCAAATCAATCGGGCCCCTTTTAGAAATTCTGAGTCTACTTTCATTGATGGATAAAAAGTCATCATTGTCATTCACAGGATTCTCCCGAAGAAGGGGAAGCCTCGCTGGACAATGTCAGCAGCCTGGAGGAGGACTCCCTGGACCTCAGTCTCTAATTAAAAGAGGTACCTATTTTAGCCTCTTTGTGGATCAATGCCTTGCTCAAGGAAACAATAAGCTCTGACGGGCAGGGTCACCCAAGTCAGACAGGTCATAGTGCAGAGTGCTGACATAACGTGGTCCACGGGAGAAGGAAATGGCAACCCTCTCCTTACTTTTGATACCCCACAAAAAGTATCAAAAGTAACTCCAGAAAGAACAAAGTTTGTATACTTTTATAGAAAGAGTGTGGTACTAAGAATAGCCTTTGATTCCTCCCCCAGACGCTTCCCCAGATGCCTCTCCAGAAGGCAGATTGGAGGAGGATGAACCAGTCCCAGGCACATCAGGAGGTGAGTTGGCCAATGCCTCCGAACAGCCAGCGGAGAGTGATTTGGCTGAAGCACAGCTGCAGCAGGAGAGCCCTGAAACTTCCGGGCAGCTGCAGATGGTTAGCTTTGAGCAGGAACTGCTTTCTGCATTATCCGAGAACAACTAGGGAAGAGAAAAGGCAGGAGCAGCAAAGGGCGGTTCTTTCACTCACGAGGAGGTAGTCTTGCCTTTCTTGATGGGCTGCACCAGAAGCTGGCAATTGAGCACAGCAGACAACTGGAGGCCATGCTGGGAACAATGCATTCATGACTAGGGGGTTGGAGTAGAAGACCTCCAAGGTCCCTTCCAACTCTTGGTATTCTGTTCTGGTATTCTATCTGCATATAGACGGATGGCGGAATCAGCCCCAGCGGCGAAGCCCTGCGAGGAGCCACTTTCCAACGAGGAAGTTCCTGCGTCTTGCTAATGTTATTGTTGTAATTCTTTTTGTTGTACTTGTTGTTGTTGTGCATCTTCTTGTTTTTGTTCTTGTTGTTTGAGAATAAAACTAAAAAATTCTTTATATCTGCTAATTTAGTTTAAACCTAGTTTCATTACACTTTTGTTAGGAATAACAAACTTTTCATTAAATGCAGAATTTCAGCAAACTTCTTTGTCTGTTTTCTCATATTTTTTCCACTGTTCTATGGGATACAGTGATTAGTATTCACTTACAATATTAATGGAAACCTGACACTTCCAGAGGTTCCTCAGCTACGCGCAAGTAGTCCTCAACTTACCACAATTGATCCACAAATTTATCTTTTAAATACAACATTTGTTTAGTGACTTTTGCCCCATTTTACGACCTTTCTTCCCACAGTGGTTAAGCAGATCACTGCAGTTGTTAAGATAGTAATACAGTTGTTAAGAGAATGTGGCTTCCCCATTGTTTTTGCTTGCCAGAAGGACTCAAAAGTTGATCACATGACCCCGGGACACTGATACAGTCATAAACATGAGTCAGTTGCCAAGCATCTGAATATCGATCATGTGACTAAGGGGCGACTGCAACGGACGTAAGTGTGAAACAAGATCATAAGTCCCTTTTTACAGTGCCGTTGTAACTTTGAACAGTCACTAAGTGAACTGTCGTAAGTGGAGGATTACCTGTACTTTCTGAACATCAACCAGTGTCTTGTCTAGTAAGAAGGAGAATTTTGTTCAGCAACATCAGGAAGATCTGTCCTTGGAACATCATGATTGGAGGCACAGAAAGCACTGTAGATCTGCTATGGGGGCAGAAAGTTTGCATTCTTCCAGAAGAAGGAATTTTACAGAAGAATACCCAAGTTACACTGGCTAAGAGGCAATAATTTCTTGCAACTCATGCTAGATTGTTGCACACACTAGCAAAATACCGTAGATAAGATACACAAATGGGACAGCTAAAATGGCAAGGAAAGTGTATGTCCTATCCAGACGTGAACAATTTCCATGCCAGTGATTTCCATTAAACTGTAAATAAAAATGATCATGTGAATGGCAACATAGCATACCTTGCTTTGTTATTCTCCTCTCAGTAACCTTGTTAATTGGTACTACATTTTCCATTGAAAAAGATGTGTTGCTTCACGTTTAGTAAGAATAAGAATATAAGGTATTTAGGGCTTGGATTCAAAGGCTTGATGTTTGCCCTCTCCCCCATCTGCACTCATGCAAGTGCATTGTGGGCAATCAGCAACCAGATCACATTCAGAGCTTTTTGCAGCATCCCACAATCACGTGACTACAGCTTACAATGTTTTGCTGGCGTTGACTACCAATATCTGGTAAAAAATGCCCATTCTGAAAAATGGGTACACTTAACGACTGCAGCTTTCATTTAATGACCGCTGCAAACACCGTTGTAGAATAGGTTTGGTCACATGATGTCTTACTTAATCACCAGTAAGACTTACCGTCTTAATTCCAGACTGGTATTAGGTGCCAAATGCTATTACTCTTTTTTTAAAGATATGAAAGATTATCAGTATTATCCTCTGTGCATCTCCATCTACAAAACCGCATTTGCATACAGCTCTGCAATTCAACCCCTCTAACCGATTTTCTCTGGAGAGGTGAGCGCAACTCCCAGACTGGCCATTTCTCTCCATGTAAATGGTGGCCTGACAGCGACTGCAATCTGACCGCTTACAGAGAGACACCAATTTCATCTGGCACAGGCAAACACATGTCAACTTCCCAACCAAAAGTACAAGTAGTGCTCGACTTACAACCACAATGGAGCCTAAAATTTCTGTTGTCAAGAGAGACATTTGTTAATGGAATTTTGCCCCATTTTATGACCTTTCTTGCCACAGTTATTAAGTGAATCACTCCAGTTCATAAGCGAGTAACCTGGTTGTTAAGTGAATCTGGCTTCCCCATTGACTTTGCTTGTCAGAAGGTCACAAAAGGAGGTGACATGACCTTGGGACCCCCCCCCCCCCCCCCCCCCCCCCCCCCGCCCCCCCCCCCCCCCCCCCCCCTCTCCCTCCTCCCCCTCCCCCCCTCCCCTTCCTCCCCCCCCCCCCCCCCCCCTCCCCCCCCCCCCCCCCCCCCCCTCCCCCCCCCCCCCCCCCCCCCCCCCCCCCCCCCCCCTCCCCCTCCCCCCCCTACCCCCCCCCCCCCCCCCCCCCCCCCCCCCCCCCCCCCCCTCCCCCCCTCTCCCCTCCCCTCCCCCCCCCCCCACCTTCCCCCCCCCCCCCCCCCCCCTCCCCCCCCCTCCCCCCCCCCCCCCCCCCCCCCCCCCCCCTCAGGAACGGTCGTAAGTATGAACCAGTTGCCAAGCATCTGAATTTTGATCACAGAATCATGGGGATGCTGCAAAGGGGGTAACTGTGAAAAACGAACATATGTCACTTTTTTCAGTGACGTTGTAACTTCGAATGGTCACTAAATGAACAGTTGTAAGTTGAGGACTTCCTGTAATTTGGAGGGCTATTTCTTCTATAGACAAGGAGCACTGATGATGTCTTGCAATATACATCTTAAAATAAATACCCAACCTGGAAACATTTTTGGAATACGAGTTTACTTACAGAAGAAAGATTCTATATTTACCATTTAATAATAGGCTGGAAGATAAAACCCCAAAAAGATATTTATCAGAGGCCATAAAAGTCACTTAGAAGCTGAATTTAACAGAATGACAGAGTTGGAAGGGACCTTGGAGATCTTCTAGTCCAACCTCC